TTCAGAGGTTATTTAAGGATTATATATAAAATGAGGTAAAAAGGACCAGGAAATAAGAGATGCAAAGAAAGTTATAGATATAAAGAGGTATTTTTGGTAAGAAAGCTTAAAAGAAAAGTAATTTTATATGAGAAAGAATCTTGCATGATGAATTTTTGTCCTAAAATAAAATGACTCGTTGTTAAGAAAGAGAAATATTATGTCAAACTAGAAAGTCCAAGAATGTTGTGAATGGTCTGTGTAAGTTGTAAAACAAGAATTTATTAAAATGTTATGTGATTTAGTTGGCTACAATTAAAATAAATTATAATAAATAGTTTTTCTGAAAATTGAACTTTTATATTAAAAATACACTCATACAACACTAAATAATTGGTTAGAACATTATTTATTAAAAATGTTGAGTAAATCATAATGCAGGAACTTTAAAATTTTTGAATTCTGTAATCTGTTTCTTTTTAAAATTATTTAGATTGATATCTCAGAACCTGTGCCCTGCTGCTTCAGTTTTTCCTCTTTTGAGAAGGCCTGGAATGGTAACTCTCTCCTTCAACTTTTTTTGACTCCTGTAACTTCTTATTTTTGTTTTTGTTTTTTTCTGAGGCAGGGCCTCACTCTGTCCCCCAGGCTGGAACTACAGGTGTGCACCACAAAGCCAAGCCTATTTATTTATTTATTTTTTGGTATTTTTTTATAGAGATGGAGTTTCGCATGTTGCCCAGGCTGGTCTTGAACACCTAGACTCAAATGATCTGTCTGCCTTAGCCTCCCAAAAGGCTAGGATTATAGGCACAAGCCATGGTGTTCTGGCCTAACTTTTTAAGTTAATAGTTGAAACTAAGAAACAGAATTTTTGAAAGCAGGCAAATGAAAAATATTTTGGATCTGCTTTTGTCTGTATGTCTGTTATAGCTATATATTTATATGTGTCATGTATTAGTGATATTTCACTAACAGTATTTATGAAAGACCTCTAATCACTTGGCTGAAAGAAAAGTAAGTGCTTTTCAGACTGAAGGAAGCTACCCAAGATGCCTTTTAATTCATATGACCTTAGTAGTTTTGGGTAAGACTAATTTGGTAAATTTAACCTAAAAATTACCTCCAGTAATTTAAAATCTTAAAGTCATGTTATGTTAAATTAAATAACCCCTATTTTTTTCACTGGGAATCTGGGTTACTATGAGTTAAAATAGTAGGACAGTAAATGGTGTTTTTGGTAAAATTTATAAAAATACAATGATGTAGCTTTTGCTAAAGAATTTTTTTTCTAATTTAGAGACTAAGAGTTATTTTAATTAAAGATAAAAACATTATATAGATAAAACTAAATGAACAAAGAGAGAAATTAAAAGATGAATGATGAAAAACCTTGACTCCAGTCTGGCTATGTGGTTACCTATGGTAGGGAGCTGCAGCTGAGCTACATTCAATTACAAAAGGTAAAATTCATTAGAATTAGGGATGGATTAAGATCCTGGGTATTTGGCTCTCTAAATGCATAAGGAGATGCAAACTAATAAGAAAAAAAAGCAAAAATATTCAATCTCTTGGTTATTGTTATCTGTAATAGCTAAATCAATGTATAAGAATGCTGGGTTGATCCTTAAGGCTGGACCAGGCCCAGATGTGTGTCTGTCCCAGCTCAGGCCACCAGCCTCCAAGATACCCACAGAAAGAAAAATTAAACCAGGGCAACAAAAGTCACCTCTGAGACCTGTGGTTACCAAGAAGATAGTCAATGTGTGGGAAGGGCAAAACCAAGTAACTATTAAAACCAGAGGGTATAATGCAAAGTAATTGTTCCATTTTGTAGATTGATATAATCAGGTTCTTGAGAAACCTTAACTACTTTAAGGAAAGAATCCTTTATTTTAAAGGCTACAAAATGAAAGAGCTTGTTTGGGTTGATGCAGGATTCACAAATCACGATTAAATTGCTGATGAGTATATGTGATCCAAACGTGTAGGAGGTTATTCCTAAGAGAGCAACCTGCCTAATTGACTGGATAATTGCTACTGTAAGGTCTGTTTACCCTGGAAATGGGACTTCCCAACCATCCCTATAAAATGCCAAGTGGAGCACCCCAGATGATGCAGTTGATATGCTTCATATGCAAGCCATGTGAAAGTGTATAACTGGGATATTCTCCCATTGAATATGACTAGTATCCAGGTCAGTGTCCTGTGACCTCTCTCCTCCCCTTTTCTCACTGTCCTGGAGTGGCACTGGCCTCTGAAGTAATTCTTTTTTGGTCTTGGGACTAGTTCAGGGGAAACTGGGTGGGGGAAGTCCCTCCTGCCCTAAGTGCAGTTGCACTGTATAGAACACTCCAAGGGCCAATGGTAATTCAGCACAGAAAGAGGGAGGACCCCCAGGTCAGAAAGAGCTCCAGAGACCTCATGGCATTGTAGTGCAGGGTGGTGGGCCAAGGTTAGGACACTGCATAAAACAGGCAATCCCACTACCTCTACCTGCTCATGCCAGGAGAATCCATAACTACCTAGAGTGAGTAGGCATCTATTCAGCCTAGCAGTAGGATTGATGTCTGTCCAGCCTGGAAGAGGGGCACTAGGTGACTCCCTCCCCTTCTGTTGTAAATACTGTAATTATCAGATAATTTAAGTTATTCTCATTTGTGACTGCATTTCTGGTTCAGGCCAGAGTCCTCTGGTATTAAAAAAAAAAGACTGAGTCCTGTCCCTATTTCTCTTCTCTTTCCCATAGATTTCCCCATCTTTCAAACTGTTTTGTATCTATTTCAAAGGAAGATATACCTGAGACTGGGTAATTTATAAAGAAAAAGGGGTTTAATGGACTCACAGTTCCACATGGCCGGGGAGGCCTCACAATCATGACGGAAGGCAAAGGAGGAGCAAAGGCATATCTTACATGGTGGCAGGCAAGAGAGCATGTGCAGGGGAACTGCCTTTTATAAAACTATTAGATCTTGTGAGACTTATTCACTACCATGAGAAAAGCACAGAAAAACTCACCTCCATGTTTCAATTACCTCCCACAAGTTTCCTCCCCTGACACATGGGGATTATGGGAGCTACAATTAAAGATGAAATGTTGGTGAGGACACAGCCCAACCATATAATTCTGCCCATGGCCACTGCCAAATCTCACGTCCTCACATTTCAAAACCAATCATGCCTTTCCAACAGTCCCCCAAAGTCTTAACTCATTTCAGTATTAACACAAACGTCCTAGCTTAGAAGCCAGTAGAATCAAAAGGAAGTTAGTTACTTCCCAGATACAATGGGGGCACAGGCATTGAGTAAATACACCCATTCCAAATGTGAGAAATTGGTCAAAAAGAAGAAGATAGACGCCCCATGCAAGTTTGAAATCAGTGGGCAGTCAAACCTTAAAACTCCAAAATGATTTCCTTTGACTGCATGTCTCACATCCAGGTCACACTGATGCAAGAGGTGGATTCCCTTGGTCTTGGGAAGATCCACCCCTGGAACTTTGCAGGGTACAGTGCCCCTCTCCTGGCTGCTTTCACAGGCTGGTGTTGAGTGTTCTGTGGCTTTTCCAAGTGTGCAGTTCAAGCTGTTGATGGATCTGTCATTCTGGGATCTGGAGGATGATGGCCCTCTTCTCATAGCTCCACCAGGCAGTTCTCCAGTGAAGACTCTGTGTGGGGACTTCAACCCTACATTTCCCTTCCATTCTGTCCTAGCAGAGGTTCTCCATGAGGGTCCTACCCCTGCAGCACACCTCTGCCTGGACATCCAGGTGTTTCCATACATCCTCTGAAATCTAGGCAGAGGTTCCCAAACCTCAATTCTTTACTTTTATGCACCTGCAGGACCAACCAAAGCTTGAGACTTGCACCCTCTGAAGCAATGGACTGAGTGTACATTGGCTCCTTCTGGGTCCTATGCCTGGGACCCAGAGCACCAAGTCCAAAGACTGCACAAGAAAACCATTTTTTATCCTCCTAGGCCTCTGGGCCTGTGATGGGAGGGACTACCATGAAGACCTACCACATGTCCTGGAGACATTTTCCCCACTGTCTAGGTGATTAACATTTGGCTTCTCATTACTTATGCAAGTTTCTGCAGCTTGAATTTCTTCTCAGAAAATGGGTTTTTCCTTTTTTATCACATCATCAATCTTCAAATTTTCCTTTTATGCTTTGCTTCCCTTTTAAACATAAGTTCCAACTTCAAACCATATCTTTGTGAATTAATAAAACTGAATGATTTTAAGAGCACCCAAGTCACTTCTTGAAAGCTTTATTTTGAAATTTCTTTCACCAGATACCTTAAATTATGTCTCTTAAGTTCAAAGTTCCACTGATCTCTAGTGCAGGGGCAAAATGCTGCCAGTCTTTTTACTAAAGCATAGCAAGAATCACCTTTGCTCCAGTTCCCAATAAGTTCCTCATCTCCATCTGCGACCACTTCAGCCTGCACTTTATTGTTCATATCATTATCAGCCTTTTGGTCAAAGCCATTCAACAAGTCTCTAGGAAGTTTCAAACTTTCCCACATCTTCCTGTCTTCTGAGCCCTTCAAGCCTCTAGGAAGTTCCAGACTTTCCTACATTTTCCTATTTTCTTCTGAGCCCTCCATACTCTTCCAACCTCTGCCTATTACCCAGTTCCATAGTCACTTCCACATTTTTGGGTATATTTACAGCAGCACTGCACTCTCTATACCAATTTACTGCATTAGTCCATTTCATACTGCTGTGAAGAAATACCTGAAACTGGGTAATTTATAAAGAAAAAGAGGTTTAATGAACTCACAGTTCCATATGCCTGGGGAAGCCTCACCATCATGGTGGGAGATGAAGGAGAAGCAAAGGCATGTCTTACATGGTGGCAGGAGAGCATGTGCCAGGGAACTGCCCTTTATAAAACCATCAGATCTTGTGAGACTTATTCACTATCACAGAACAGCATGGGAAAACCCACTCCCGTGATCCAATTACTTCCCACTGGGTCCCTCTCACAACATGTGGGGATTATGGGAGCTACTATTCAAGATGAGATTTTGGTGGGGACACAGCCAAACCATATCACATGGTAAATTTAAAGCTTAAGTGCTACAAGGGCACTCCAGGTGACATTAATACCACAGAATCATAGCCTGATCAAATTTGCTGTCCTCATGGGTCTTACAGATGCTTAATAAAACATTGGGGTAATTAACAAAGAATAATGAGAAAGGCAAAAGGGAGTCAGAGGACTCACCCCAGAGGGTGATGAAAATATTTGGATGTTTCATAAAAAATGAAATAAATAAAATGAAAATCGATGGGGTTGAAACAAGGGTCGTACAACACTATCAAAGGTTGGATGGACCAAAGGGAACCCCTACTGGTCCCCCAACATTAAAAGGCCACATACCTGTTTTCTGCATTTGCCCCAGATCGGGGAAATTGAAGAAACAGCAAAAGGCAAAGGTTATAATGAAAGAGCTGACATTACCTGGGGTAATGCTGAGGTAAATTAAGATGAAGATTAAAAAAACAGCCCAAGTCCCTTGGCTCAATATCCTGCTGGGAACTCAAATCACTTTTCACCAGAAAAAGTAAAATAGTCTGGGGGTAGAAAAGAAAAGTTCCTTGAACTAGAACATAGAAATGTACAGGTTGATAGGATTATGAAATTTGAGATGTCTGTACAGCCTGTGTGTCAGGTAATTTTAACTCCTTTACCTAAATGTCTTGTGAAAATTGGTATTGTATCTGATTGAGGGATGTTTCTCCTATCAAGTACTATGAAACTGAAGTCATGTAAATGTTCCCTTTGAAGAATGTTAATTGGACTCACTAAATGGAAACTAGTAAGGTTGCCTGAGGCTGCAGAATGTATGGCAGAAGCTGAAGGGCTAGAGGGGAACAATTCTCCACTTCATATCCCCGTGTGGAGCATTTATTAGGGCTTATGGTAAAAGACTGGGAGCACTTCCCAAAGACAAATACTGTACTAGAGAATTTCCCGTTGAGGGACATTTATGGCCTTGTTATGGAATGTTAACTGAAGCTACTCCTTTGCTAATGGAAATAATGGTGCCCCAAAGAGTTCCATAATAATTTAAAAATTGTTTACATAGGATCTTGCTACCTGAGGATGCAAAGAGGAGATACTTATGAGCAGAGAGTATTCTTTTTCCCCTAGGGCTGACTCTAACTGTGAGGAGCTGCTAGATTCTACAGTGCCTGATAAACAGCTCTCATATGACAAGAACTGCTTAGCATGTGAATGGCAATTCAAGGTGAACAAAGGACATGTTGTTTGGAAGGCTGATGCTCTGGTTAAAGAGTCAAGGGAATCTTTTTCTTTTAAATTATTTATTCTTTAGAGCAATTGGGTGAAGTATGTTTTTATGAACAAATTTACCTTTCTCTCCAAGTTCTCCAAAATTTGGAAACCGTGAGTATTCTGGTTTTATCACAATATAGTTATTTGCATAAGTTTAGTAAGAGTCTTTTGTTTTAAAACAGGACAATTGGAGACACTGATTATTTTACCAAGCCTTTGACTAGAATAACATATTTTCAGGTAAATTTCCAGCAAAGCCAACTTAAAAAGAGCCTATATGGTCAGTCAATTTCTTGCTGCACTTTATGCAAATAGTCAGGCCAAGTATAATAAGCCTAAAACTTATTTTTACACACAAATCAGTCTTACTATAATTTGTCTTTAATAGAAAAGGAGGGCTAGAGAGAGAGAACATTTTTTTCAAAGGAGAAGTTTATCACTTGTTACTAGATTTCAGCCCCGACCTTTGTTTTTGAATGCAGATTGATTCATGAATGATTTCTTGGCTATAATAATCCTCTAAAGAATACAGATTATAGTTTTTCTTCATATTTTTAGTTGAATCCATAATGAAATAGCTTCTGTTTTCCATTCTGACACACACATACTCTTTTGATTGTCAAAATATTAATGTTATTTATCTCTCCTTGATTTACTTCTAAGGAAATTGGAATCATGGTATTCTCAAGACTAGAGATGCAAATCTCTCTCGTTTGGCATCCCACTGAGCCCGATCTGTTTTTCACTGTAAATGCCCTTCTGTTAAGACTATACAAGCACCCTCCATCTAGGCCTAAGGACTGCTGTGGAAGAGGTGGGTGTGAGAGATTGTAAGGGCTAGGTTTGAGGAAGTGAATTAGTTCAGATCATCCAAATCAACGATGGATACACAGATGCCTAAACAACTGGTAAAACAAAGTTTTTTGCCTACTGAGCTATTATGTGGCATCTTTTCATCCAGCCCAATCATAAAGAATGTCATGCTTTTTGTAGAATTAAAAGAAAATAACTATTGAGAGGATAAAGATACCTTGTGACAAAGCCTTCTGGATGTAAGACTCCCAGTTATGAGTTGTGCAGATAGATATGTGTTTTTAAATTTTATTTTCATGTATTTATTTCTTTTTTGAGACTCACTCAGAGTCTCACTCTGTCACCCAAGCTGGAGTGTAGTGGCGCCATCATGGCTTACTGCAGCCTTGACCTTCTGGACTCAGGTGATCCTCACGCCTCAGCCTCCCAGGTAGCTGGCACTACAGGCATGCACCACCATACCTGGCTAGCTTTTTGTCTTTTTGTATTTTTTTAGAGACAGGGTTTTGCAGTGTTGTCCAGGCTGCTCTCAAAATCCTGGGAATATAGATGTGAGCCACGGTGCCTGGCCAGTATATATTAAAAAAATTTCTTTCAGAACAATGCTTATGTTTTGTGTAGTTAATTGCTGTAAGTCCATAACTAAAACCAAGATTATAGTAGCTCGATGCATAGAAGTTAAAGATAAGTCAGTTTTGTAACCTGGCCTTTGGCTTTTTGTTTGTTGGCTTTTTACTGAAAAAATTTAAGGGGTAATAAATGCTCACCCATGTCCATTCCTATCTGGCTTAGAACATTTAATTTGCTATAAGTCTTTTGACTCTAAGTCCCTTGGCCATAGGGGGTCCCACCGAGGGACAGGATGGATCTCAAGCAGGCAGCCATGCCACCCCGACCATGGTATGAGCTGAAATAAAAATTTGGTAGATAGTGTTGTTGCCTCTGGCAAATCTTAGCTGGAAGAGGGAGAATATAAAGCAAAAATAAAATTCTGAGAACCCTAACCATCTGAATGGACCCTTCCTGTCAGCCAAAGGCATTCCAAAATTAATCTGAAAAGCAAATTTAGGGGGGGTGGGTCAGACACATTTCATTGTACACTCCTCCCTTTTGGAGTTCAGCAAAAACCAGCCAGAACTAACATTGACACAGACTTTAAGTCTGACAAGAAACATTTACATCTATTTTTTCTGAAGCCTGCTACCTAGAGGCTTTATCTGCATGATAGAACCTTGGTCCCCAAAAGTCCTTAATATAACCCAGATATTACTTTCTATTGATAATAACTCTTCCAACCAATTGCCAATCAGCACATTTTAAAACTTTAAAAATACCTATGACCTGGAACCCTCTGCTTCGAGTTGTCCTGCCCTTCCAGATTGAACTGATGTAAATATTACATGTACTGACTGATATATTATGTCTCCCTAAAATGTATAAAAGCAGGCCATACCCTGACCATCTTGGGCACATGTTGTCAGGACCTCCTGAGGCTGTGTTATGGCCACATCCTTAACCTTGGCAAAATAAACTTTCTAAATTGATTGAAAACTGTCTCAGATACTTTTGAGTTCACAGGCATCAGCCAATCCAAATTTGCTAGTGCCTTGCTCTTGGACTTTCCAGTCTTTGGAACTATGATAATTAAATTTCTGTTGTTTATAACCCACTCAGCTTAGGGTATTTTGTTATAGCAGCCCAGATGGATGAAAACACTATATTTAATCTTATTCAATTTCATTTTACTCTCAGCTCTGATTTCTTCAAGATGTTTTTGATACTTACTCTGTCATTAATTCAGTAAACTTGTATTGGGTGCCTGCTATTTGTCAGGCACTTAATAAGCACTAGAGTCACAAGGGTAAATAATATACGGCTCCTGTCTCTGACTTGTTCACAGAATAATGAGAGAGGAACTTATAGACATATAAATAAAGAGGAACTTATATAAATGAAGTGCACTGTAATAGAGGTTGTAATGGAGTTAGGCACACAGTAGGGTGGGAAGATAAAGAGTGAATGAATGGTTAGGGCTTAACTGGGGAGCACAGAGGCAAAAGAGGCTTCAAAATAGAAGTAATAAAATACCTGATTCTTGAAAATGAATTACATATTTACAAGATGAACAAAGGGAAAAAAGGCATTATAACTGGAGGAATATTATATAAAAGCACTGAACTATAAAACGGCATGGTTAATTAACACAGCCAGAAGTGGAACATTGTGTCTAAGGACAAGCAACAGGAGATGATACTGAAATATAGATGAGACTTTGTTTACTATCTTAAAAATCAGAGATTTTTGTTTATGGGAATTACTGAAAAGTTTTAAGAAGTAGAATCACATGCTAACTATGTATTTTATTAATTCATTTAACAAAAAAAAATTAGGATCCAAATTATTGGAGGTGGCATGTGAAAGAGAGGTTGGAGGTACACAAGGCTAGAGGAGACTAAATAGGATTTCAATTGTCTGAGCTAAACTGTTCATACATATGAGAGGTTTCATCATACATGTGGTTGTTAAAGGCATGGATGGGCATGAGACATCCTAAAGAGATCACGCATAGCAAAAGGGTAGGGAATACAAGACAGAGGCCTGAAAGTGTTGACCAAATAAGAGAAGACTGAGTAGAAAGAATCTAGCAGTTAGTCAGAGATACAGGTATGCATGGGGGAGGGAATTTCAGGAAGAAAAGAGAGATCAACAGTATCAAATGACTGAGAGTCTTGAAGTAAGCTGATAATCAGACATAGTTTGTGGATTTGGGATATATGGGAATAAGGAAGTTGTTTATGACCTTTTATGGAGGTAATTTCAAGAAATACCAGGCTATAGCAGACTATAGGGCGGATGGAAGGTTAAATGGTACAGACAATGAGTCTAGACTATTCTTCTAAACAGCTTTGTGGTATCCATCAAGGCTGAGTGAACTTTTTTTTTTTCTTCCTCAAAAGACAAGAATTATCTTGGCTATCTTAATAAGCTAGTGGGGAAAGAAGCAATCAAGCAATAGAGTGTGAGGTTGAAAATAGAGAGAAAAGGCTGGGTGCAGTGGCTCCTGCCTGTAATTTCAGTACTTTGGGAGGCCGAGGTGGATGGATCACCTCAGGTCAGGAGTTCAAGATCAGCCTGGCCAACATGGTGAAACCCTGTCTCTACTAAAAAAACAAAAGCTAGTTGGTCATGGTGGCACACACTTGTAGCCCCAGCTACTTGGGAGGTGGGAAAATTGCTTGAACCCGGGAGGTGGAGGTTGCAGTCAGCCAAGATTATGCCACTGCACTCCAACCAGGGTGACAGAGTAAGACTGTCTCAAAAAACTAAAAAATAAGTAAATAAAAAGTGAGAAAAAAGAGCAATATGGATGAATTAGAATCTCAGAAATGGGAAGAATGGATTCAACAGCAAGATTGGAGGGATTTTATTGTACAGGAAAGGGACACCAATCTTTCTAAAGACATAGGCAAATTAGAGAAGGTAGGGACAGAGGTAAGTTTGCAGGTGAAGTTGCTGATATCATTTACTGGTCATGAAGAAAGAGCATGTGACTGGGTTGGACACTGAGAAACAGAAAAGGTTGTGAGTTAACTTGAAAGGAATATGTGAGATAGAAAATAAGTTGTGTGATTGGCTTAAGACTGCAGGTGTGGAAGGTGGAAGGTGGAAGGTGTGAGAATATTAAGAATTTGAGCATGCTAGCTAGACAGTAGGTCAAATGGTCTCCCAGGATGCAAATGTCATCAGAAAATATCTTTAATAGGACCAAGCAAAAATCCCTATGGCATGTGACTGAAGACCACCATTCAAGTTGACATAAATCTATAATTTGTTCATTTTGAAGTAGTAATTAATCTACCTAACTATAATATTACCAGTATACAGTGCTCCTGTTTTAAAACCTCTTACTAAAAGCTATCTTTTTAAATTTAATAAACCTATCAGAATATTAACTATTCATATTTTTAGTAAAACCATAGTAGCTCCTGGTGATTACAGTGGTTCTATCTGTGAACTCATCCCTGATGTTGTTATGGATTGCATCAACCTCACTGTTTCCTGGAACTATACCAATTCATAGGAAGTATGATTGATAAAACATATGGAAATTTATAGTACACATATTAGGCAGGCAATAAGAATGAACAGAAGCCAAGGGTCCATGTGAGCTGATTCTCCAAGGTTCAGGAAAGCTTCCCAAAATAAATGGAGTCTCATTTTTGTGTGGTCCTCCATTTACACTGCAGCTGAGAAACCCTGAAAACACTGTGTCCTGGGCTTACATGCCTTAGACACAACTGGGATTGCTGAGCTCAAGAGTTGCAGAGCATCCTACTATGGGAAGAATGAGGACATAACTCAGGTTGTTCTGGATATTTCCTTCCTTGCTGAGAATGCAGAATGTTTCTGACCAAGAATTGCAAGCAAGAATAGGAAAGAGTGGGGTAAGCCAAGGTAATCTAGCTAGATAGTAGGTCAAATGGTCTCCCAGGATGAGAGACCCTGGGGCCCTCATTTTTTTGGGGCCCTACTGTTTTGCAGAGAGAACTTAAGTGTATTTGCTACCAAAATAATGTCTTTGTATAATTCTGTATTCTTTCTTTTCATTACAGTATATATATGGGTTCTTTTGTACTTTAGATATCATTGTAGTTCTGAAGACCTGGTTAAATCATCAGCTATGTATTACTTAGAATGACTGTTTGTTTCTATGCATGTACCAGTATGCTTATACAATATTGAGGCTGCAACTGCCTACAAAATTAGTCTCACTTTGAGTTTTCAGAGATAAATCACAGTATGACAGACAAGGGGAACAGACTACATTTTACAGTTTCTTGCAGATTCAAAGGTTACTTAAGTTGGAGACAATCAGTCTTATGGTGGAAGGCATTTTGTCAACAGACGGCAAGTATACAATTTAAAAATAAATTTTTCTATGTTATCTTATATTTTTTTCCTAGATGTTTCTGTTGGCAATAACATGTGCATTTGTATCCAAAACCCTATCTGGATCTTATATGAATTCCATGCTCACACAAATAGAGAGACAATTCAACATCCCAACATCTCTAGTTGGATTTATTAATGGAAGCTTTGAGATTGGTAATGAATTATTTTTGCATTTCTTCTTTTTGTATTTTGTCTTATCTATGGAGCATGTCTGAATTTTATTCTCCTTATTTGCTGTTTTAGGTCATTTAATCTGACTGAGTTGGATGTTTTCTAAAACTGATTGATTAGCTAAGCTCAGAACATGCTTGGAAATAATTCATTTAAATATTACCTAGTATTAACACCTAAATATTGCCACATATCCCACCATTGTTCTTTTTATTCTAATAGTTTCTTAGTTATGTAGCACGAGTAGCAGAGTATTTACAGTATTTATATTTAAATCTATCATTTGATAACCCTAAAGGAAACTAAGGGCTCCATCTTTGTATTTAGAAGATACAAAGGTAGAAGACCGCCAGGCACGGTGACTCATGCCTGTAATCCCAGCACTTTGGGAGGCCGAGATGGGCAATCATGAGGTCAGGAGATCAAGACCATCCTGGCTAACATGATGAAGCCCCGTCTCTGCTAAAAACACCAAAAAATTAGCCGGACATGGTGGCGGGCACCTGTGGTCCCAGCTGCTCGGGAGGCTGAGGCAGGAGAATGGTGTGAACTTGGGAGGCAGAGCTTGCAGTGAACCGAGATTGCCATAGAACCCCAGTCTGGGTGACAGACAAAAACAAAACAAACAAACAACAACAACAACAAAAACAAAGGTGGAAGACCTAGAAGATGTAGAAGATATTGTTGGAGACCAAGGAAATTGCCTTACAAAAGAAAATGCAAATATTTTTCTGCTATTTGGTCTGGGAGGTTAACAGTTTTTTTTTTTCCAAGTACAGAGAGAAGAAAAGATTGCTTTTATATCTCTCTGAATTTATTTCAGAGGCAGCCTCTAGGGAAGAATAAAGTCTACTCGTAGATTCTGATTTTTGTGGATGACTGGGAATATGTGACCACAGAGAGGGAGAATGAGGGAAAGAAGGATTTCTTCCACGAAAAAAGTTATAGAGAAATATGAGTGTCGCCCTTTTCTAGTTTTATAATAGCTTCCACTTTCTTCAAGGTGATAATTGCCTTTAATATAAACATATTTAAAAAATCAGGATTGAGGAGAAGCAAAACTGAAATGTGATTCTTGATCTTATCTACTAGTGTTCAGCTCCCTTAGATCTTACCCTGTATCTCCTGTGTGCTGATCCCAGTGAGTTAGAACTAACTCCATGTATAGCCCACAAATTGACTCAGTTCATAATCTAACGGAAGGTAGAAATGCAGATAATGATAACATTAATTGAATGAAGTAAGTTTGGTAGCGTAAATATATACAAGGTCTTACAGGAACAGAAGAAACATAGACTCATTTAGGGAAGACAGACTCTCAGAGGATGACTAAAAGTTTTCTAGGAGAAGAAACGAGGTTAAGCAAATGTGAAGAAAATTCCAGTAGAAGAAGCCTAAGAATGACGCAGCGTAATACACTATGTGAGGAGCAACATTCAGCTTGATAACATTGACTAGCCAAGATAAAATTGGAAAGGATTAGGATGTGAGCCTGGAGAAATGGGCAGGGGTGAGAAATGGGTTAATGAGAGCTTTGTGTGCCTGCTATGGCATTTACCTTTTAATCCTCTAGATGAGGGAGTGTCACTGAGAGTTGGAAGGGGTTATTAACCTTTCTGTGCCAAGGACTCTTTTAGCATTGTAACACCGTATGATCCTGGAATAATTATTTTAATTGCACAACAAAGAACTACATGGGTGCAAAGGAAGCTAGTTATATTGAAGTAGAATTATCAAAATATTAAAACAAATTTTTATATAGTAATATTTATATTTTAATCAACCCATTAAATTAAAAAGTCACTAATTTTAAAGTAATTATTGGGTCAATATTTTAAATTGTTTGCAATGGCCATGTTGTCATCTGAACATATCTGTAGCTTCTATTGCTGACCGTTGGTGACAATGTTCACATTGCAGTTACGTGAGTCTGAAGCACTGGGGAACCATCTGGGCTGGAGCTATTGATTAGTAAGTAAGTAGGCGTTTGCTAAAACTAGAGAGAGAATTTATGAAGTTATTCAGGGAGAGGATATAGGGTGATAATTACAATGGACAAAGAATAGATCCTGAGCTGCACAACATTTAAGGCACAGGTAGAAGAAAAGGAGTCTATGACAATATTAAGAGAAGGAATGGTCAGAGAAACAAGAGGGGAAACCAGGAGAAAATAGTATTATGAAAGACAAAGGAGTAGAAATTTGAAAAAAATAAAGCATTAGCAGTGTGAAAAGCATTAGAAGTATCCAGTTAGATAAGAATGAAGAACGATTCCCTGGGTTGTATAATATGGAGATAACTGATGGTCTTTGCCAGGGCACTAGCAAATTTAGAAGCTAGGGAGCAGTGAAGGTAGAGCGATGTTAGGGGATTAGGGAGGGGGAAAAGTGGAATCTATGAATATGGATGAATGTTCTGGGAAGTTTGGAGAGAAACTGGAGAATATGTGTAGGCTAAAGTCTAGTTGAGAGAGAGGCTTAAAATATATATGAGAGATTTTAATTACTAGAGTAAGTGGCTGAAGAAAATGGCAGTGCCCTGGTGATGTGTTTAGTGTCAGATGGTAAGATGGGCACCACAACCTCTCAAACTGAAGGAAGGTGGTAAGGCCTTCAGGTGGAGAACTCAAATGCCTTCATGTTCGATTGCCCCATATTTCTTGATAACGTAGAAAATATTAACAATTTCTACCACTAGTGGGTGGTGATAGATAGCTTGAGGACAATGATGAATATTAGAAATAGTGTGAAATTTATAAATGCCAATAAACATATCACTTAGCTTACATTTCCCCAGTCAGTTTTACAGGCAGCATTCTCCATACCTTTGAAAAAAATTACTTACCTTTTCCCCTGCTTTCTTGTTGCAATTATTTCCTGACAGAGCAAGGCAGTTTAAAACACGAACTCACTCTTACATGAAGAAGGAATGTTCTTCCTTTCTTCTCCTTTCAAAAATTAGATACGAATTTCAAACAGTGGCCTCTGGAGACACTCCCTTCAATACCTATGGCTTTGGTGATAGATTTTAGAAACCTAGAGAGGTCAATGTGGCTGATACAGTTATTGAGGTGGGGCGCGCTCCATATAAAATGATGTACAAATGGACGTATCTTCTACATACAGGGCAGACTAGAGAAAAATATAGATGGAAGGAAAAGTTTTCAAAATATACACCACTTAGAAGATTATTAACTCCTTGAGGAAAAAAATTTTTGAAATTTTTATAATCTTGAGTCATTACAGAGGCATTCTTTATATATAGTGGGAGCAAGGTAAATATTATTTACTGAATTAAAAAATGCATGGTTGGCAAAAAACTTACTCATATATTTGTTTTTTTCAAATCTTTACTCCATACTCTTCAAGGATCTGTCCATCAGATGGGCCTTCCCCCATTAGTTTCTTTATCCTAAGACACGGGGATACATTTTTCATTGCCATTTTTATTCCTCAAATCCAGACTCACTGAAGACCCAGTAGAAGGGGGGGGGTCTACTAATTTTTACTTAACTACATTGTCTGATCTAGGGAAAGAAGTAGAAAAAAAAAAAAAAAATCCTTGTGTTGGTCATGTTGACCAAAATGAAGGTATTTTAAAATAATGAGTTATAAAACACTCAGTTATCTAAATTTGACTTTTGCTTCTCTTTCTGGGCATAGCAAAACATGATAACGTTCTATGGAGTAGGCACTGAGAGACAGGCCAGAGGTCACATGCAGTCTGACACCTTCTTTTGCACCTCATTTCCCAAGTCTAGATAGTCACAAATAGAGCCTTTCAAATTTCCCATAACCATTCTTTAGTCGCTTTCACTGGCTTCTCTTCTTCTCCCCTCTATAAATGTTGGTGTTTCAGAGATATCTGTTTCTGTATCTGCCTTCATTGCAAAACAGAACCTTTCTTCGGGGCAGGGATTGTGTTATATTCATTTATTATTTAATACAACCCTAGCACAAATCCCAGTATTTAAGATAGTTGTTATGCAGTAAACGCTAGAATGTAAATGATCGGGTGAGGCGGTTAATGAAGACTTTGTTCATACTTTTTAAAATGATTATTCTCAATTTTTCCTAGGAAATCTTTTGTTGATTATATTTGTGAGTTATTTTGGAACCAAACTGCATAGACCTATAATGATTGGCATTGGATGTGTGGTTATGGGCTTAGGCTGTTTCTTAAAATCACTACCTCATTTCCTCATGAACCAGTAAGTATTCCAGTCTGATAATTTTGGGTGGTTAAATTTCACTTGCGGGAAATGAAGCTCACACTATCCTCTCAAGGAGCAATGCTTTCCAACAGCATAGAGCACTGTAATGGGAAGGGGAAGATGCACATTCTGTTCCATCTGTCTATTTGGTGCTTTTGGCTGCCTCACTAAATTTGTCAATTTACACAATGGGGATTTGACACCTTTTCTTGTGGAGTTGAGTCTGGTGAAAAGATTCTCAGGACTGGCCAAAACTTGGGATTATTCCCTTCTCAGGACCATGTAAATACTTCTAATTATAATGAAGTTCTGCTTAATTGCAGGTCACCAAGGGACAGACCAGTCTGAAGGTTGATTTTTCTTTTAATTTTTACCAAAGTAACTATGTACAAAGTCATAAAAATAGAAACTATACAAAAAGGCTTATACTGACAAAAAGTTCTCCCTTGTCACTTATTACTGCTTTCCAGAGGCAAGCACTTACAACTTTTAGCTCTTTCTTCTATTTGCTTCCAATTTCTTTTTTTTCTTTTTTCTGTTTTTCTGTTTTTATTATTTATTTAGTTTTTTGAGACAGAGTCTCTCTCGCTCTGTCACCCAGGCTGGAGAGCAGTGGCGCGTTCTCGGGTCACTGCAAACTCCGCCTCTAGGGTTCAAGCAATTCTCCTGCCTCAAGCCTCCCGAGTAGCTGGGACTACACGTACGCGCCACCATGCCTGGCTAATTTTTTGTATTTTTAGTAGAGATGGGGGTTTCACTGTGTTATCCAGGAAGGTCTCGATCTCCTAACCTCGTGATCTGCCCTCCTCGGCCTCTGTTTTTATTTTTGTTGAGATAATCTCACTCACTCTGTCGCCCAGGCTGGAGTGCAGTGGTGCCACCTCCCGGCTCACTGCAACCTCTGCCTCCCGGGTTCAAGTGATTCTCCTGCCTCAGCCTCCCGAGTAGCTGGGATTTAGGTGTGTGCCACTACACTCAGTTCATTTTTGTATTTTTAGTAAAGATGGGGTTTCCCCAAATTGGCCAGGCTGGTCTGGAACTCCTGGGTTCAAGCAGTCCGCCCACCTCAGCCTCCCAAAATGAAGGATTATAGGCGTGAGCCACCTGGCCCAGCCTTGCCTCCTTATTTCTAAGTAAATGTTATTCTATTAGTTTTGAATCCTGGCATACCCTGCTTTATTGCATTTCACTTTATTGCACTTTGCAGATATTGCATTTTTCACAAATTGAAGGTTTATGGCAACCCTATGTTGAGGATTAGAATCATTTTTCCAATAGCATGTGCTCACTTTGTGTCTGGGTCACATTTGATAATTCTTGCAATATTTCAAACTTTTTCATTATTATTGTATCTGTTATGGTGATCTGTGACTAGTGATCATTGATATTACTAATGTAATTGTTTTGATGTGCCACTAACTTATGCCCATTTAAGATGGTGATTTATTTATTTATGTATTTTTTTTTTAGAGCTACGGTGTCACCCAAGGTGGGGTGTAGTGATGTGATCTCACTCACTGTAGCTTCGACCTCCACAGGCTCAGGTGATCCTCTCACCTCAGCCTCTCGAGTGGCTGAAACTACAGGCACGTGCCACCATGCCTGGCTAATTTTTGTATTTTCTTTTTTTTTTTTGGTAGAGACAGGATTTTGCCATATTGCCCTGGCTGGTCCTGAACTCCCTGGTTCAAGCAATCCGCCTGCCTCAGACTCTCAAAATGTTGGGATTACAGGCGTGAGCCACTGTGCCAGTCTTAAGATGGTGAACGTTATCAATAAATGTTGCGTGTGTTGTGACTGCTCCACTGACCAGCCATTGCCCCATTTTTTGCCCTCTCCTTGGGCCCGCTTATTCCCCTAGATATAAAAATATTGAAATTAGGCCAATTATTACAATAACTCTATTGTGGCCTCCAGGTGTTCAAGTGAAAGGAAGAGTTGCACATCTCTCACTTTAAATCAAAAGCTAGAAATGATTAAGCTCAGCGAGGAGGGCAAGTTGAAAGCCAAGAGAGGCCCAAAGTGAAGCCACTTACACCAACTAGTTAACCAAGCTGTGAAAACAAAGAAAAAGTACTATTTCAAGGAAGACACACATGATTAGAAAGTGAAACAGTCTTATTGCTGAGATGGAGAAAGTTTGAATAGTCTGAACAGAAGATTAAGCCAGCCACAACATTCCCTTAATCCAAAAGAGCAAGGCTCTCTCTTCTATTCTACGAAAGTTAAGAGAGATTAGGAAGCTGCAGAAGAAAATTTTTAAGCTAACAGAGGTGGGTTCATGAGGGTTAAGGAAAGATCTTAGCTGTCTTCATTACATAAAAGTGCAAGGTGAAGCAGCAAGTGCTGATGGAGAAGCTACAGCAAGTTATCCAGAAGATCTAGCTAAGTTAATTGATGAACGTGGCTACACTAAGTAACAGATTTGCAATGTGGATGAAACAGCCTCCTTCTTCCTTCTCCTCCTCCTCCTCCTCCTCCTCTCCTTCTCTTTCTCCGTCTCCGTCTCCTTCTCCTTCTCCTTCTCCTTCTCCTTCTCCTTCTCCTCCTTCTCCTTCTTCTTCTTCGTCTCATGCTGTTGCTCAGGCTGGAATGCAGTGGCATGATTTCAGCTCACTGAAACCTTTGCCTCCTGGGTTCAAGCGATTCTCCTGCCTCAGCCTCCCAAGTAGCTGGGATTACAGGTGCCTACCACCACACCTGGCTAATTTTTGTATTTTTTGTAGTGACGGGATTTCACCACGTTGGCCATGCTGGTCCCAAACTCCTGACTTAAGGTGATCTGCCTGCCTCAGCCTCACAAAATGGAAACAGCCTTCTTTTGAAAGAAGATGCCACCTCGGACTTTCAGACATAGGGAGGAGAAGTCTTTTCAAAATATTACTGCTAATTGACATTCTAGGAGCTCTGATGGAGATGTACATGGAGATGAATGTTGTCTTCATGCCTGCTAACACAACATCCATTCTGTGGCCCATGAATCAGGAGTAATTTGGACTTTGAAGTCTTACTATTTAATACACACAGTTTGTAAGCATATTGCTGTTATAAATAGTGATTCTTCTGATGGATCTAAGTAACATAAATTGAAAACCTTCTCGAAAGAATTCACTATTCCACATTCCAATAGGAACAGGAGAGGAGGGCAAAATCTCAACATTAACAGGAATTTTGAAAAGTTGACTCAAAGCCTCTTGGATAGCCCTGAGGGGTTCAAGATTTTAGTGAAGGAAGTCACAAGACTTTAGTGGAGAAAGTCACTGCAGATGTGGTGGAAAGAGCAAGAGAACTAGAATTTAAAATGGAACCTGAAGATGTGACTTAATTGCTTCAATCTCATAATAAAACTTGAATAAATGAAGATTTTTTTGTTTATGGCCAATCAAATAATGTGGTTTCCTGTGATGGAATCTACTACTGATCAAGATGCTGTGAACACTGTTGAAATGACAGCTAATGTTTTAGAAGATTACACAAAGTTAGGTGGTAAAGCTTGTAAGGATTGGTAGGTAGGGCTTGTAAGGATTGACTCCAGTTTTGGAAGAAGTTCTACTGTGGGTAAAATGCTATCAAACAGCATTATGTGTTGCTGGGCGCAGTGGCTCACACCTGTAATCCCAGCACTTTGGGAGGCCGAGGCGGGCGGACCACGAGGTCAGGAGGTCAGGACATCCTGGCTAACACGGTCAAACCCCATCTCTACTAAAAATACAAAAAAATTAGCTGGGCGTGGTGGCGGGCGCCTGTAGTCCCAGCTACTCGGGAGGCTGAGGCATAAGAGTGGTGTGAACCTGGGGTGAACCCAGGAGGCGGAGCTTGTAGTGAGCCGAGATTGCACCACTGCACTCCAGCCTGGGCGACAGAGCGAGACTCCGTCTCAAAAACACACAAACAAACAACAACAACAAAACAGCATTGTGTGCTACAGAAAAAACTTTTGTGAAAGGGTCAATTGACACAGGAAACTTCATCGTTGTCTTATTTTAAGAGATTTCCACAGCCCCCCCACAACCTGCAGTAGCCACTACCCTGATCAGCCAGCAACCATCAACATGGAGGCTAAAGCCTCTACCAGCAAAATGATTATGACTTTCTGAAGGCTCAGATGATTGTTAGCATCTTTTAGCAATAAAACATTTTAAATTAATGTGTGTACATTGTGTTTCAGACACAATGCTGTTGCACACTTAATAGGCTACAATATAGTGCAAACATAACTTTTATATGCATTAGAAAATTAAAAAATTCATGTGGTATTCACTTTATTGTGGCAATCTGGAACCAAATGTGCAATGTCTCTGAGGTATGCCCATACATTAGTGTTACACAATATGTATTGAATTCCTACCATAAAATCATTTTTACTATTTACATTTGTATAATTATGTAAATCTTTTTTACTATTGAACCATGCGCTTATCATTCTTTACTTATACGACTTTTTATTTGCCCTAGATTTAATCATTACCTCATTTTATCATATGATTAGCTTTCTTTGTATTGTTCACTGATTCATCACCAAATTCTCCACTGGTAGGGCAAATGTCTCCTCAATATTCTTATCTCATATCATAGAGTTTGATTTTTGTCTTGGAGATTCCTCACATATCACTTTCAATTCTCCATCTGCAATCTGAACTTGGAATTCTCTAGACCTGCTGCATTGCTGTTTCCGTGGAATTTTCCCTCATCATTATCCTTGAGACTTTGCTTTTTTGCTGTTTCATACATTCAGTTATTCATTTTCTGGATGTCCTGTCTCCTGCTTTCCTCTTTCCTCTTCACTTGTTTTTGTGAAGAAAATAATCTAATAGCTTTCCAAGGAAGTGTACAAGGGAAGTATAAAATGTAAGACTTTGTACATCTGAAAATATTCCTATTTTACTCCCACATTTGATTGCTACTTTGGCTAGGATAAAATTCTAGATTGGAAACATTTTCCCTAGGGATTTTGAAGATATTTTCCCAATGTTTTCCAGCTCTATCTAACACTTGTAATCAACACTTGACACAGGAATTACTCAGAATCCTATGCCATTCTAATCTCTCTGATCAGCTTTCTTTTGGTGGAAACTATTGGAATTTTCTTTTAAGCTTGAAGTCCAAAATTCATGATAATTGTGTTGGTATAAATCTGTCTCCTCCATTGTGCCAGGAGCCTTCAATCTGGGCATTTGGAAAAGTTACTTTTGTTATTTCTTTGATAATATCTCCCCTTTACATTCTCTCATAACACTGTTTTCTCTTTCTAGATCTTCTATTACTTGAATATTGGACATCCTGTATTAATCTTATGTTTTCTCATCTTTTATCCCTAATTTTTTGTCCTCTTGTCTTGTTACTTTCTGGGAGATTTAACTTTATTTTCCATGCCTTTGAATGACTTTCTAGCTTATGCTACCACATTTCTAATTTTCAGGGGATCTTGTTCTTTGAATGTTCCTTTTGAAGGAACATCTTATTGTTCTTTCAAGAATGCATTCTCTCTTCCCATCTAAATTTTGTTCATTTTTCTTCTTGGTCTCTGGCACCTCCAAGTGTACCGTTTTTTTTTTTTAAATTTGTTTGTAGCTGTCTTTACTGTTACAGACTTCTTTCATATATCTGGTGGTTCTTTGTTATCTATTCACACTTAAGGGGGAGGAATAACAACAACAAGAAGCCAGCTGGAAGTTCTGAATACATGTGTAGGACTTGGTTAAAGGAGGACTTCTTTGTAGTCATTGAGCAGGGACTGGCTGTTTTGCAGATGGCTCAGAATTGCACATAACGTGTTATCCTAGACAGGGATTCTTCAGTCTGTTGCTTGGGGGGTAGAAGCTTAGCTACCAGCCAAATGCAAGTGGGAATCTCACTGTTTAATATGTAGATATGTAGATTTTTTTAACTTAATACCCCCAATTTTTTTGTATTGCCTTTCTACGCTCAATGTGCCTCTCCAGACTCTCGAGTCAATGGACATTTTCAGTTGGAGTGGCAGGGAATGTCTCTGGAAGTTTAATGTTTCTTAAACACACTTTAAACCAAAGTGTTTGCACTCTTCTGTGTTTTGGACCATACTCACTTTTGCATTTAAGTATCTTGCCTGAATGTTCCTGGGCTTTGCAGCATTGTTTTCTTGCAGGCACTTACAGTTGCACTTCTCATATCTTCTATTTCAGTGACCACTCAGTTACCTGCTTTTCCATTTTCAAAATCATGTTGAGCTCTCTTTTATTGTAAAATTCTCTACTTTTTTTTCCTTGTGGAATTATGCCTTTTTCTATTCTGTTTGAAAATCTGTTTACTGTCATTTTGCTGATGCTTTGGGAATGAATAGACTTTGAGTTATTGGATTTTTAGTGGATAAATTAACAAAATATATTTTCTCTTTTAAAGTATTTTTGAAGGGATCAGAGTTTCTAAGCAGAGTCTTTCCTTTTCTTTTATTTCTTAGCCTATCCAAAACAATGTTAAGTAACATTCAGCTACTATTTACATTTCTTTCTACCACCTGCCAAAGGTGTTATTTCCTTGGGGTTGTCATGTCTCATAGGATTAAAGCCTTTGTCTATAGTTCACAGTCAGACTCTTTGGGCATCACTGAACAATTGTTGTAAGGGGAAGGTATTTTGAGACTTCTTATTATATCCTATAGCACAGAAATTAAGACTATCAGTGGCATCCAAGCATAACACTCTAGCTTTTGTGCAACTCAGAAGGGCAAGTTTTCTTCTGGCTACCTTATCTGATAGAAACACAGAAAACAATCCAGCATTATTTCTAACAGAGACTTCATTGAATATACTTTTTTTTTTTTTTCCCATTCTTGCACCACGTAATTTACTTTCCGAGGAAAAGCATGTGGATCTTGTGCTAATTTGCTTAAATTAAATGGTCATAGTTTATTAATCCATTTGTTCTTATGAGAAGAGAAAAAGTCATTACATTATGTGTCATGGTGATTGAGATTCTCTTAAGGCCTCTCATTATGATGGACAAATATTTTGTTTTTCTTAGAGGTTTATGAAACGCATGGAGGAATTATTGTAGGATTTCTCAGAAACTGGAGGTTTTGCTTCTTCTGAGCAAACTTTAGAGAATGCCAAGTTGAAGACTTGTTTTGCTGTGTTATTCCTTCCAAAGCATTTATCTTCTTAATTATACATTATTAAATCTCACATTTTTTAAAGTTTGTGTTCCTTATCTTGTAATAATTATTTCCAGGAAATGATAACCTAAAAATCAAAGAAGGTTTATATTTGATAATCTAAAGGTAGATCATCCACAGGCAGATTATTGAAAGCTAAGTGTAAAAAGATTGTACATTTACAGAAAGTGGCAAGTTTTTTGATGATATTAACTTGTGATAACTTGGATGCCAACGATGAAAAGACATTTTTGCTGGATTTGAATGTTGTGTTGTATGGGAAGCAGAAGGTAACAATCTGTACATTGCCCACATTGTCCTCATTACTTCCTTAAAATAAACATATTTTCCCTGTGTTTATGCAGATATGAATATGAATCTACAGTTTCAGTTTCAGGCAACTTGTCCTCAAACAGTTTCTTGTGTATGGAAAATGGAACCCAGATTTTAAGACCAACGCAGGATCCATCAGGTTGTCTACCTCATTGTATTGATTTTTGTTCAGCGAACTTATAACTGGACACTTTCTGCTGAGGGGCCTGAATGAGATATTGCTTGAGTTAGATAATTAAACAAAGATATATTATCTCTCCAGGAACTTCCAAAGGAGTTACAATGGGGAATAAGAATAGCTAATAATAAAGAATGTTATTTTTCTTATATTTGAATGTATTTATTAAGAGTTCCTTGTTGATTTATTAACATGGTTACTTAACAATCAGTCAGAGGGCCGGGTGCATTTACTCCCAAAGTAATCCCAGCACTTTGGGAGACTGAGATGGATGGATCACCTGAGGTCAGAAGTTTGAGACCAGTCTGGCCAACATGGTGAAACCTCACTCTATTAAAAAATACAAAAATTAGCCGGGCATGGCAGGGGGCACCTGTAATCCCAGCTACTCAGGAGGCTGAGGCAGGAGAATTGCTTGGAGGCAGGAGAATCGCTTGAACCCAGGAGGCGGAGGATGCAGTGATCCAAGATTGCACCATTGCACTCCAGCCTGGGCAACAGAGTGAGACTTTCCTCCAAAAAAAAAAAAAAAGAGTCAAAGACATCTTTCCAAGGATCACTGTCAAGTTCATTCCACAGAGGAAAATGTCTTAGAAAGATGTATTTATGCTGATGATTTGGTGTATATGATTATGTAAATAGGAACTAGAGACAGAAAGTTCAAGAGATTTGTATTCTATCACTGATCTTTAATAGCAGGGGAAACAGGCAAGTACACTATAGTTCTGAATTACTCTATTTCCTTTCTATCGACTTAGGAACTTGTCTTTCTGCTTTTTTTTTTTTTCCTCTACTGGAGATAGTGCTTTAAAATTCTACACAATAGTAGTACTTCTTTCAGCTGCCGATAGCTCTAGGCACCAATGTATTGACTTCTGCCCCTTCTGTCCCTTCTGCTATGAGACTTGTATAATCTTCTGGTTATACTTGGTCTGGAGATGACTCTGATGACTCAACATTTTTATGGGGACATTCTTATTCTGGATTCATGTTCATGGAAGTTGCGGTAGTCCACAAGGGTGGGAATTTCATGACCATCATTGAATTAGGAAACCAAAACAGTTTCAAAAAGTTGAAAAATATCTGTCTCAGAAGAAGCCAAAGAACCCCCTTGGGGGAAACAAAGGAAAACAGTGATATTAACAGTGGTCTGTGTTCTCTTCCTGAGCTGGCTATTGCCAAAGACTGACCCAGGTGCTAGTCGGCTTCATTGTAGATATAGCAAAACCTTCCTATTCTGGCACATCTCCAGGAAGGTGGATTGATGCTTTCAGTTTTGCCCTAGATTAGGCCTAGAGTTTGCCTGTGATCTGTAGACACAAATCACTTTGCGCATCACACAAAAAATCTGAATCCCCAGAAACAGAGACTATTATTTTCTGACTGGAAATAACAGAAAGAGAGCGCTCACAAGAAATTCCTGGACCCAGCTGTGGTCAGGACCTCACAGTCTCACCTGGCCAATTTACAGGAGGTGAAGAGTGCATTGACCTTCACTTTCCTGAAAACGGGACTCCACAGAGCTTCCTCCCAGCTTATCAGCTATTTCGGCCTAGAACATAGATGGCAAAGAGATTGACATAATTCTTCAGAGATCTCCCTATCTTTCTCACTTTCTATTCCCTTTGGTCTAGTCTTGGTTACCGTACTAAGTAGCTGTGTCTCCACGGATTGGGGTGGATTTCTGTATTGAAAGTTATTTGGTTGTTACAGTATACAACATGCTCTGTAGAGAACCTGTGATGAATACCCAGTTAAATATTTTTAGTTTCTATGAAATAATTAGAGCTGTAGAGAATTCACGCTTTAGCAAACTTTTGTTTAAATCTTATAAATATAGTACCAATTCTAGAGAAAGATATTTTTGTGTTTTTTGTCTCCCCAAAGTTGGATAGGAATGGGGAAGCACTTATAGCAGCTGAATGAGTTTGGGAGTTGCTGAGAAACTGAATCTCTGTAGAGAATAAAAAAACCTTGATTTTTAATGTTTGCCAATTTCTGTGGTGTAACACTGCTATGAAACTACCAATGAGGTGTCACTGAACACCTCGGGAGGTGTGTATATTCATCTCTCCCAACTCAGTAGGGACTGGTTCCAGCATATCACTTACACTTGCCCATACTCAAGTCCGCTGTCAGAAAATGCACTAGGGGTGCCCCAAGAAGTCATTGCTGGAATAGTAATATAAATCATTGACAAGGGGCCATCGTCATATAACTGCAAAATGCCTACAGAAAACATAGAATTAATATTACTGACACTTTATTGTCAATGTGCTAATGTCATGTCTTTTTTTTTTTTTAATGCAGAGTGTACAAAGGAAGTTAAATCATTAATGTGGGTGTACGTCCTGGTAGGCAATATTGTACGTGGAATGGGCGAAACTCCCATCCTGCCTTTGGGTATTTCCTATATAGAAGATTTTGCCAAATCTGAAAATTCTCCTTTATATATTGGTAAGTTTTGAAAATCTACCTTAGCTTCTTTTCAGGGCAATAAGTTCCTTGAGGTTAGAAATGAGTTATACTTTTGTAGTCTTAGTGATTTCCACAATGATGAGTGGAGTGTCTTGGCACAGTTGGCCTTTCATAAAAGTTTATTGAATGGAAATGAGATATGCTAAATGACAATGAGCTACTTTGTTAATAAATCTACTTTCTACTATTGGAAATACCACAAATGTAGTGCTCCTGGAGGTGAACCTTTCATTTGCTTTGCACCACACCATATCCAATGTGTTAAGAGACTTACCAATGTTTTCTCTAAAATGTTCCATGCATTCAAAACCTTTCTCACTATTTTCACTACCTCTGTTTTTGTTGAGGTTCTCATTACTTTGTCTGTAGGTTCTCTTTATTAATTATTTTCTCTTCAGTATTTTCTTTTCTCAGTTTTTAAGAAACATTCCTGCAATATATTTTTTCTCAAGCATTATTTTAATCATGTCTTCTCTACTATATTTATGACACATATAAGCTCCTCATTTATTAAATCTGATCTCTCCACTTATTACTCATGGCTCTGCATGACATTCACTTACTTAGTTTTCTATATAGTTTCTCTTCATCATGATCTCTCCAGGCTTCTTGATATTTTTCACAAATACGTCTTCATCTTTTTGTTTATGTTTCTTGAAATTATCATTTTAAAATCCATGTAGGTCACCTGGCACAATAGCCAACTTAAGACCCACTTTCTTGTGCTTCCTTCCAGTCTCTGAAATATTCTTAATTTATTATGCATGACTTCTTATATGTTTTGTTATTCTATCAATAGTTGGTCATAAACTCATAACGTTTAGTATAGGGACATTTTGCTATTAATATCTGTAGGCATATCTGTTAAAAACTAGAAAAGTCAAAGAGGGTGAGAGAAGATGGAAATGATTTATACATAATCAAGATGGATTAAAATATTGAGGAATCATTAACCCAAGTGACTTTTGACACATTTTGGCAACTCACTAATTTTGCAATAATCTTTTCCAGTGATTTTCTATTCAGTCCTTTTAACTTCCTTCACACACTTATATTAAAAGAATGCAAATACTCTCCAACAATAAATTAACAAACACCTTGCTATGATATCTATATCTTTATTCAACAAATACTAGGGTGTATTATATATAAACATAGCTGTGATGATCTCTAATACATATGAAAATGAGGATGATATGGTCCATATAAGGTTAGTAAAGAACTACATAATTATTAGTACTATATATATAGTGTGTGTATATATACATATATACATATATAGTGTGTGTTCACGTGTGTATCCATAACCAAATAACTATAAATCAAATAGCTCTATACCAAGAAAACAGTTCCACGTATGGCTCTGGAGTTTAGAAGAGAACACAAAAGCTAGGTTAAAAGTTGGAGAATCGACCAGGTGTGTTGACTCATGCCTGTAATCCCAGCACTTTGGGAGGCCGAGACGGACAAATCACCTGAGGTCAGGAGTTCAAGACTCACCTGATCAATATGATGAAACCCCGTCTCTACTAAAAATACAAAAATTAGCCGAGTGTGGTGGCATGTGCCTATAATCCCAGTTACTCAGGAGGCTAAGGCGGGCAGATCGTCTGAAGTCAGGAGTTTGAGACCAGCTGTCCAACATGATAAAACCCCATCTCTACTAAAAATACAAAAATTAGCCAGGTGTGGTGGGTGCCTGTAATCCCAGCTACTCGGGAAACTGAGACAGGAGAATCACTTGAACCCGGGAGGTGGAGGTTGCAGTGAGCTGAGAGCGTGCCACTGCACTCCAGCCTGAGCAACAAGGGTGAAACTCCATCTCAAAAAAAAAAAAAGTTCAAGAATTATCTATAGAGAGGTAATAAATGAAATCAAGAGGGAGAAATGAGGTTGCTGTGGAAGACCGTATATATACTGAGAGATATTAGGATAAAATACTGGGAAAGGTTTCTACTTAGTAAATAGAATAGGAGAAAGGAAAATCAAAGAAGGAATAGTCATAAGAACACAATGAAACAATACATGTCTAGTTTAATGAAAGTCTTAGGAAGAAATGTGAAAATAATCTAGAAATTATTGGCCAACAATGTCAAATAACCTAGAAAGCTAGGAAGATGAAGACCAAAAGAGGGCACTAAATTAGTGACAAAGAGATCACTGGGGCTACCTGAGAGTATTTGGGGGAGAACGTAAAAGGATTTGAGTAAAGTGAGTGAGAGGTGAAGAAGTAGAGGCAGAGAGTATAGTGAAAGGGTGGATTTGAGATTTTGTAGAATCATTGGCTATGGGGAAATTGAACACGCACAAGAGAGGGAGTGTTTGGTAGAGCAAAACCTTAGAGAAGATAGAAGGGGTTGGAACCAAGAAGTTAGGTGTGTGTAGGGTGGGTTCTCTATAGAACCATGGAGAAGGCAGAGATAATAGGCAAAGCCAAATTTTGAAGTGAACAGGAAGAAAGTTGAAGAAGCTCGTGTCTGGATTTTCAGAGATCAGGGAGGGTTCAGCATAGATTCTGAATTGTAGACAAGTGATGAGACAGCTGATGATGATATTTTAATCAATAAGAATTCAAATGAAGACAGATAGGACTGATGGACATGGAAAATAAAAATGTGGAAGAAAAGGAAGGAGAACATGATAAAATCAAAGAGTTGTGTATCATATAATAATAATGAGGACATAGCCAGAAGGAAGTTTCAAGTTGTAGATCTGAGAGTGAAACTTTTTTGAGGAATGTGCCATGAGAGATCCATTATAAGATGGTATTGCTTCAGAATTCCTCCCAAAACATGCCTGGGGGATGAATTAACAGGACCTTGGTTATATCATGACCTAGTCGATGGCATGATCCCAGCTGGGACTGCCTGTGCTGCTACAGCAAATCTCTACCTGTGACCCAACATGAAAGAGAATTTGGAGGCCAGGGAAAGTGGCTTTAAATTATGAGGCTTCTTTTTCAACATTTGCAGAAACAACTGTCACTTATATGTACATCAAGCTTAACTTTCATATAAATTGTACATCTAGTCAAAAGTATCCAAGGCAAAAACATTTAATCTTCAGGCTTTTCATGGACCTAGAACTCTTTATGTGGGCATATAACTGTACTATAACCTTATACTTTTATTTATTTTTAGGGCTTATAGAAACAGGAGCTATTATTGGTCCTTTGATTGGACTTTTGTTGGCATCATTCTGTGCAAATGTTTATGTTGACACTGGATCTGTGAACACAGGTAATTCAATAAAATCTATTTGTACAGTGTCTAGAGTATACAAAGCATCTCAGGTATATTATCACATGTAATCATGGCCTTACTTGACCTTCAATTTGATAAATGATCTCCACTTTAAAAGTGAGAAACTCTAGTGGAGGAATTTAAATAACTTTTCAAATATTCCAAACCAGAAAACAGTAGAGCAAAATAAAATGCTAATCTGACACAGAATCACATGCTCTTTCTACTGCACTTCAACTGTATTTCTTGGTTTTACAAAATTTAGGCATGTAGGTTTGAATTTATTTCAATTAAGCAATCATTTGTTGATGATGAAATAGAACTTGTAGCTGTTTAGTTAATACTTGCTTTTAAATCCCTTACACGATAGACAGATAACCAGCCTAATTTATTACTAGACAATATTATAACACCACGTATTATTAGAAAAATTTTATCAGTGTCTGAATTGTAAGCCAATTTTATACTTGGTTAGGGCCTGATAATTCTAATTTTAAGAATTTTCTATAGTTCATACAGAAAATACTGACTTAAGCTAATAAAAGTGTGTATATTTTTTTACAGATGATCTGACCATAACTCCCACTGACACTCGTTGGGTTGGTGCATGGTGGTTTGGCTTTCTGATTTGTGCAGGAGTTAATGTGCTCACTGCCATTCCTTTTTTCTTTTTGCCCAAAACACTTCCAAAGGAAGGACTGGAGAATAATGCTGACATCATTAAAAATGAAAATGAAGACAAACAAAGAGAAGAAGACAAGAAAGAAAAATATGGAATCACTAAAGGCAAATATGCATATTTTAAATACTATGAAATTGACCTTTTATTTCATATAGATATGTCTGTATTTTAGTCTAACACTATGATATGCTATCCTGTGTTGAGACAATTTGTCATCAACTGTCACCAGTCAGTAATACCTAACTAGTCCTTTTCTGCCTATGGTGCTACTTGAAAAGAAATAATATAATTTGGAAGTTGAATTATTTCAGATTAGCATTCATGTAAACTTTTATGTCAGTCTTGGCACTCTCTCTCTCTCAGATATCTATATCTATATCTATATCTATATCTATATCTATATCTATATCTATGTTCTCTGTAAAATGGGTTTTTTGAGCAAATGAGACTATATGTATATAGTCTCATATATATAGATATATATATATAGTCTCATTTGCTCAAAAAACCCATTTTTCAGAGAACATAGGTTGAATTGAAACAAAATGAACAAGCAAATTTAAACTAAGAACAAAAGTAGGAAAGTGTATACTCTAATCTTAATAGGTAGTATAGTTTTGTAACAATGTGTTAGTTTAATTATGAGCTTCCTGGAAGTTAAAGCAGAAAGAAAAAAAAAATAAAAAACATGATCAGTGACCCACCTCTCTATACTTGGTAGAGGGAAGAATAATCATAAATAATTTATAAAAAGAAATAGAAATAATTTATAAAAAGAAATTATAAAAAAAGAAAAGAATTATTTATAAAAATTTATAAAAAGAAGCAGTTCTCCAAGGAAGAAATTGTAGAAAAAAATAAAAAATGATCATATGATGTATGATACAGGTAATTTTGAGCCACAAAGTGGTTTTCCAGCAAATGAAAGGGTAAATTTCATGTAACATTTTTTTTTTTGGTACAGAGCCTCAATAAAAGTTCAAAGCATAATTTACAGAAGGGTTTTCTGTGGGAAACTAAACTAAAAAAGCCTCAGTATTTAGTACTCAAGAGCACTGATGCTCAAACTTGGCTGCACATTGGAATCACCTAGGAAATTTTAAAACTGATTGATGCCTGGAAGTTCTGTAGTATTCCCAAAAGGTCTGATTTAGTTAGTGTGAATGTGTGGCCTGGGTATTGGAACTTTAAAATGTTTATTTGATGGATGGGGAGGGGCTGAGTTTTCTGTCAAATGCGGATAAATTATTGTGGTGTGAAGGTAAAAGACATTCTAGCACACATTATTATTAATACTGATACTAGTGTTAGTACTTTTATTGTTGCCATTGCTGTTTCTATCATCACCCATAAGTTACAATGTCAATTTGCAAGGAAATTTTCTTAACAATTATAAATTCTCTTAAATCACAATTGAGCATAATTTAATACATCTTGGGTCATTAGGAGCCAACTCAGAATCTTGCAAATTCTCAGAATCATTCTGATGATATTAAAAACTCTTCTTAAAGGATTGTTATGGACTGATAGACCTCTTGTGGTCTGCAAGATCAGGTCCATTTTCAAAACCAGGAAAGAGCTTAGCTTGTTGCAAGACATAGAAAACAAACTTGTGCTTCTGAAACTCATCTATTAGGACAGGGATGTCAGCAAACATGGGTGACTTAAAAACCTTCAGAGTCGGACAATAACTCTCTCTCCTGTCAGGTACCCTATTCATAAATATAAATTTTACAATTATAACTCATCTGTTTGCATTAATCTGTGTGTCTTCCTCTTCTAAATTGTTTATTTATTGAAATTTTATTCCACAATGAATTGTGAGCAGTTTATTAAGCAAACCAGGATTGTGCAAAATAAGAAAGTCAAGACAGAGAACATGTGGACAGGAAAAGTGAAAGGAAATTACAAGTGAGAACTTGAGCCTGAATGGCAGCAGTGTGACCAAGAACATTTACAAGAGGCAGGCCACACATTACTAGAGGCAGGCCACACATTACTAGAGGGAGGCAGCCACACATTACCAGAGGCAGGCCACACATTACCAGAGGCAGGCCACACATTACTAGAGGCAGGCCACACATTACTAGAGGCAGGCCACACATTACTAGAGGCAGGCCACACATTACTAGAGGCAGGCCACACATTTGGCTCTGTGCTTTTTCTAACAGGAATAATTTTTGATTAAATCATTTACATAGTCCTTAGAATGTACCAAATGAATCAGCATCGCTGAGGGTGGGACCTGGATGTTGGTATTTTAAAAAATATCTCTGGGTAGATCTTGTTGAGAACCATTGACAGAACCACTGAAACTGTTGTTCTGAAGAAGCAAAAAAAAAAAATTCTGGATACTTGAGAACATTCATATCTCATTAATTCCCACATATATCTTTATTTCAAATGTTCAAGGAGTGATAAAATAAATATTTATGTGAAATCTTCTTTATCAACTTGATTTTCCTCCAGACATTACAGAACAGAACAAGCATCTTTCATTCTAATGAGCTGTAGAAAAAATAATATATTAATAGAAGAACAAAAGATTAGAAATAACATGCTGTAGATGTAGACAATATTTTGGTCACTTTGTAGTTTTGCTTATTGATCTTTAAGACTCAATAGTGACTTATTGAGGGCAAATCTATTGTGTTCTGATCCCTACCCAGTCAGCTACATCACTGACTTCCGGAAGCCACCAAAACATTTCTATGACTTCAGCTTTCAAGAGGAAAAAGGAATTAACAAACACATACACATTACAAAATAGTAAAAAGCATAATTTGTTGAGGAGGTGGATGTTTCAGGAAAAGCCAGTCACAAAATGCAAAGCCAAGTTCATTTGAAACTGTTGTCATTCTTTCATTTCAGATTTTCTACCATTCATGAAAAGTCTTTCCTGCAATCCAATTTATATGCTTTTCATACTTATAAGTGTGATACAGTTCAACGCATTCGTTAACATGATCTCCTTCATGCCTAAATACATAGAACAGCAATATGGAAAATCATCTTCAGATGCAATCTTTCTAATAGGTATGTTTGTTTTTCTCTGCATTACTAGCACAATTTTTACCCCCACGAAATGGTGAATAGTGTGATGGCGGGTGTAGCAAACTCCTAAGTTGAAGTCTTTTAGCATATTTTTTGTCTCTGGTGGATTTCTTTCTTCTACTCTCCAAAAAAAGAAAAAAAAAAAAAATCAAGAAAGGGTAGGGAAGGGAAGAGGTCAGAGATATCTTGATTTTCTCTCCGAAGTCAGAATGTGAATTCATAATATTAATGCAAATCATTGGGAGTGCAAAAATTACATATTTTGAGATAGGATTCTGCATTTTACTACCAAATTTTACTCTCTTGGTTCCAGTTCAAGGATTCTGTGGTCCTCCTAATTTAATTTTTCGGTCCCCCTAGTGGTTTTAGGTGTCTCTGCAGCCACACACATTCGGCCTTTCCTGCAACCACACTAACCTCAGAGGTTTTAGCCTAACTTGGGTTTTTCCTGGGATCTTTCCACTGTTTTGAAAAGTCAATATCCCAAGCTACTTGTATCCACACTACCTAAAGTGCTTGTGAAAGCTTCAAATACCTGGGGTTCCCCCTCAGACACACTGAATCAGACTCTAGGGCGTGGGGCTCTGGAATGGATTTTTAACAAGTTCTCTCCATAATATGATTCAGGGAGACAGACGTTCACATTGTATGGATGGAACCTAGGGCTATCTTCTCCTTTTACTATTCTTTTTTTTTTTCTCTTATTGGGAAGGGTTGAGAGAGGAAGAGCGCTGGCCAGTAGCAGCAAGACATGAAATGTAAATACACCTGACAGCAACAGGCTCAGCAAAGTGACTCTCTAAAGTACCCTGAACTGGGTGTGGTGGCTCATGCCTTTAATTCCAGCACTTTGGGATGCTGAGGAGCGAAGATCACTTGAGGCCAGGAGTTCAAGACCAGCCTGGACGACATAGCAAAGCTTTGTCTCTGCAATTTTTGGTTTTAAATTAGTCAGTGTGGTGTCGTGTACCTGTAGTCCCAGCTACTTAGAAGGCTGAGGTGGGAGCAGCCCTTAAGCCCAGGAGATTGAGGCTCCAGTCAGCTATGATCATATCACTGCACTCCAGTCTGGGCAATAGAGTAAGATTCTGTCTCTAATAAAAGAAAAGAAAAGCACCTTGAGAGGAGTCTAATTCTTCACAACCAAAGTGGGCATAAGTAACTGAAAAATTGTATATATATGTTCTCATTACACAGAATAGAAGGTAATAAATGAATAAATTACTGGCCAATTTTGACTTGCCACATCTACCTGGATCCGAAGAAGAGAGATTTTTGTCATGATCTCTGCCTATAAGAAATTCACAAGCTACTGCAAAGAGTTAAACAAATGATAATATAACAACAAGAGTCTCCCAAAATATACTTCCCCATTTATGGGGTATTTCAAAATCTCCCTGTGGGTCATGTGTAACTAAGTGGGGATAAAATTAAATCATTCTTCTTCACTATGAGTTGGACCTAAATAGTTTCTTATATAAGACATATTACATAAAAGTGGTAACATATTTATTCCTTTGGTAAGTCATTTTGTAAATAATATTTTATTTGCATTTATAGGTATTTATAACTTACCTCCAATATGTATTGGATACATAATTGGTGGTTTAATTATGAAGAAGTTCAAGATTACTGTCAAACAAGCTGCCCACATAGGATGCTGGTTATCCTTACTTGAGTATCTTCTCCATTTTTTATCTTTTCTTGTGACTTGTGAAAATTCTTCAGTTGTTGGAATAAATACCTCTTATGAAGGGTATGTTGTTTTCTAATGAATGTCAGAATCTTTCAACAAATGGTTATTATTATATTTTTTACAACGGCAATGCATGATCAGATCGTTTGCTTGTTGGAGTTAATGGTAGTAATCCATGCTCTTCCTGTATCTTTTCTCCGTCTGTCAGTCAAAAGCCAATCTATCCAAGCTCTAGGCTTATTAATGAGATTGGGAACATATCACAGGGTGAGTGAATTTATGATTGCATGTGCATGTGGGTGTGTGTGCATGATTGTCTTTGTGATATCCGAGTAGACATTATCCTATGAAAGAAACTACCTACAGTTTGTTTGTATTAAAATATGTTATCCATATGTCTTATACTCCCATAACTGAGTAAAACTAAGAGTAGACTATACAGTCAAAATAGCCTTTATATGTTTATACAATGGGCTTAAGTTTGGCATAACTGAATCATAATACATGGTAAATTAATTAATACATAATTCATATATTTCATTTGTATTGCTATATCTAAAATATTGAATACTTTCATATTTTGTATTTTGAAGGTTATCTGGGTTTTATTGAAAGGTTTTCCATAGTGATGTACACTAAAAGAATTCACCTATAGGGCACATTTTGATAATCAAGCTATCAATTAAAATGAAATAAAGAACATCCTAAAATGTTTTTTCAAAATTATCAAGGTTTATTAGATTGAAACAATTTCAAATGTAAAATAATAATATAATTTTATATATGGTATTTGATTTGAGACTCATAAACTTTATTTAAGATAAACATTATTACCTCCACTTACAGATTCAGAGAGATTTAATGATAAAGGGAGTTCATTTCAAATCTCTTCAACCACATCAATACAGAAATGGATTTTAAAATTGGAATAAATTTTAAAGATTGTCTCCATCTCCAATGATGCTGATTCCCAGACATAATGTGTCGAAAGTTGCACTGTGATCTAGTCTGAATTCAGTCTCTAAACTGCCACGCAAGTGCTCTTTCAATCGTATTACAAGCACTGGTCACTTGTATTTCTTTAATTCAAATACCTATGTTTCTGGAGCTAAACGTATTATCTATATTACAAGTGGAACTTGCAGATTTTTGTCTTCATGCTAGTCCTTTCTTGCTATTTGCTACCTAATGGATGCATCACAGAGATTAGTTCATCCTCATTTTTGAGATCTAATAGTATGTGAAAACGTGACTCCCACAAGGTAGGCACTCAATGCTTGTTTATTACCTGTATATTCTTCTGAGATAAATCATTGAAAGCGTGGCTATGTGGTCATCAAAACAGGTCTCTTTTATACCAAAGCTATAGTAAACAGGTCACACATTGATGATTGGAAGATTTCTCTTTCTATTCATGAGAGAAGAGGAAATCTAATTGGGAATTGAGATGAAAAGAAGAAAAAAAGGATTGAATCATCTTTTAATATCTATGGCATTATTTTAAATCACTTCAGAATTCCACAAGATTTATATATGGGAAATAACGTCTTTGCTAATTGCAATGTGGATTGCAACTGTCCATCTAAAATATGGGATCCTGTGTGTGGAAACAATGGCTTGTCATATCTGTCAGCTTGTCTTGCTGGTTGTGAGACATCCATTGGAATGGGAATAAACATGGTAAGACATCCTATTTGACAGAACTTTTTTGAGTTGCATTTTTACTTTCCAACTATGAACTGGGCCTACACTTAATAAAAGTAAAATTAGTGTTTCCTCAAAACCAAATTAGTTTCTTTGTATGTGGAAAAATAACTCTATGACAGTCACTTGATTACCTTTTATTTCCCAGATCTTATGTAAAACCTTCATAGCATCTGAACAGTGATCTGAAATTTCCGAGAAGTTTACATTATTACTCAAATAATTTGGGTTGTAAATACTCTGGACTAAAAAAAATTTTATCATTGAAATAAAGTTGGTGGTTTTGATCTCAATTGTCCAGCTAATTGCTTTGCTATACATATATATATATATATATATTTTTTTTTTTCTGTGTATATGTATGGGTGTGCTTTCTGTGTTTTTCACATTCTGACAGTTCTTTAAGAATTTAGAATTAGGAATGTTCTCTTGCCTCTAACATATCAAGATCTAATATAACAACAATACTAATACTAATATAATGTTGGTTGGTGATCAAAGTAAACTATAAATTTTGATTCTTATTAAGACCTGGAAACATGTAACAATTCAAAAAAAGTTGACAATTCTGTTTTTGAAATAAACCCTCCCCTCCCCTCCCCTCCCCTTCCCTCTCCTCTCCTTTCCTTTTTTTGAGACGGAGTCTCACTCTGTCACCCAGGCTGGAGTGCAGTGGCACGATCTCGGCTCACTGCAACCTCCGCCTCCTGGGTTCAAGCGAGTCTCCTGCCTCAGCCTCTTGAGTAGCTGGGATTACAGCCACACGCCACCACACCCGAGTAATTTTTGTATTTTTAGTAGAGACGGGGTTTCACCATGTTGGTCAGGCTGGTCTCGAACTCCTGACCTCATGATTCGCCTGCCTTGGCCTCCCAAAGTGGTGGGATTACAGGCGTAAGCCATTGCGCCCTGCCGAAATAAACTATTTCTTTAGAAGCAAAGCTTTGGTTATTTGTAAGCATCTAAACATTTCAACTGAGCACTCTGAAACAGATTTTGTTTGTCCAATGTAGTGTTGTATCAAAACACTATTTTAAAAAGTGTATTGTCTGGGCGCAGTGTCTCACGCCTGTAATCCCAGCACTTTGGAAGGCAGAGACGGGTGGATCATCTGAGGTCAGGAGTTCAAGACCAGTCGGCCAACATGATGAAATCCATCTCTGCTAAAAATACAAAATTTAGCTGGGTGTAGTGGTGGGCACCTGTAGTCCCAGCTACCCTGGAGCCTGGGGCAGGAGAATCACTTGAACCTGGGAGGCAGAGGTTGCAGTGAGCCAAGTTCATACCACTGCACTCTAGCCTAGGCGACAGCATGAGTCTCTGTTTCAAATAAATAAATCAATAAATAAAATAATTAAAAAGTGTGTCTTTAGGATAGCTTATTAGTTATTACAATATTTAGGAAAATATACCATTTTTCTGAAATCACCCTTCCAGTTTTGTTATATGCTGTAATCTTGAGAGACATCATAATGGAGATGGAGTAAAGGAACAAGGAGTCTCCATCTTGATCCAACTGGCTGTGTAGAAAATGTTTAAAATTTGTGTTCAAGATATTTCTTTCTTAGTTAGTATGTTATTTTTTGACAGGTGTTCCAAAATTGCAGCTGTATTCAAACATCAGGAAATTCATCTGCAGTTCTTGGGCTGTGTGACAAAGGACCTGACTGTTCCATGATGCTCCAGTACTTCCTAATCTTATCAGCAATGAGCAGTTTCATTTATTCTTTGGCTGCCATACCTGGATATATGGTTCTCTTGAGGTACAAAATTATTTTCCTTATTTAAATTTTTTTGGGTCATTTATTAAGGTAGCTTGTTCTAAGAAAGTCACTCGGGACTCAGTATCTAAGAACTCAGTGCTCTAACGTACCATTTATTAAGGGTTTTGTATTAAGCATTTTTGAATTTCACAAAATTTTGAAGTTAGCAATGCATATATTCATCTCCTGGCATTTCACTCCTATTCCTCCCTATTTTTCTTCCTTATTTCTTAGAGTTAAATGAGTGGACCTCTCATTTTGTGACAAAAGAGACACGTTTACATCTTAGGGTAGGCCACAGAAAATGGCCATTTTGATAGGTAAAGAGTGACTGCCTAGCAGCCATTTCCTAAGGTTCAACCTACAGTAGGACAGCAGCGCAAAGCTCTGAGAAGCCCCCATCTCACCAAGGCCACTGGATCTTTCTGAGCTCCATTTTTCTTTAATAATAATGGGCATAATAATAAATACTCAGCTCTCTCACAAGGCTACTGTGAGACATCAGTGCTGAAGGACTTTCTAAAACTAGGAAACTGCAGAGCTAGTTTTCAAATTTAGGTATATTAAATAAATCTTCTTTCACCTACACCACTCTCCATGCCTAGTAAACAATCCTGAACATAGTTTGTATTTTTTCTTTCTTCTTCTTGTTTTGGAGATCAAAAGTAGAGTTAAGTTAATCACAATGCTCACGTCATAACACATTATCATCACAGGCCAGAGCAAGGATTCTCTCTTATTTTACTTCATTTATTTATTTACTTCTATTCAATTCCCTATTTCCAGTCACCATAGTTGCTCACTTAAATATGACAGATTAATGTCATTAAATATGCATTTCCTTTGTAAAATATTAAATTTTTTTGTGTGTATGTGTTTTTATATTCACACCAATGGTGGTATGGTATTAAGTCTTGTTCTGGTTCATAAGGTAGATGCATAGATAAATTGACCAGTCCTATTTAGAGTAATTTTTATATCATCACTGCATGGGAGTTAGAATTATCTCACTTTGTGATGTTGACTAATCCAATGGGTGTAAAATACTAATGATAGCTCACTGACGTGTCAATATGTGATTTCCTGATATACTGAGCTTAAGCATCTCTTCAAACAACTTTTTTAGCTATTTAGGCTTCTGATAGATGATGCTTATTCAATTTATTTTACCCATTTTACTCATTATATTTCCTATTTCCTATGTTTTCCTTGATGATTTTGATGATTATGATGTAAATTACAGGTATTAATGTAATACTGTTTATGTTATACAATTATCTTCACTTAGTCTGTCTTTTTTCTTTTAACTTTTACAGTGCCATTTATGAAATGAAATCCTAAATTTTGTTGTACTAAAATCTAACAATTTTCTTGCCTTAGTGTTTGTGTATTTGGAAGATAAGTCACATTTTTAAAATTGCTTCCACATTTGTAACTTATAAAAATATTCTTTTAAATTTTATTTCCCCCTAGCTTTCCAGCTTTACTTTCTGCATAGCTTTTTAAGCCATCTCAAATCTATTTTTATATGTGGTTTAAGGGACATAGATATCCAGTGTTATTTTTCTCCGAATAATAAAGTTTTTTCCAAAATCATAGCCTATATAATACATCCTTTTTTCCTTTGATTTGTGGTGCCACCATCTCAAGTTTTTATATAACATGAATCTATTTTTCATCCTTGTTCTGTTCCACAGATTTATTTGCCTGTTCTCATACCAGTGTCACCTTGATTTAATTACTTTGGCCTTGCAAATGTTAGTATTTCATATGGTAACTTTTCCTCACCCCCCTGTCATCTTCACTTTTCCTTTATTCTTTTATTCTCAAACTGATTTAGCTGTCTATGGGTCTTTATATCTTCATAAGAATTTCAATTGAGTTAGTGTAGATTCCACAGATTACTTGGAGAAAAATCTGACATCAAATATTTTTGAACATGTAATATCCTCGCATTTGCTTAAATGTTCCTTTGTATCCTTAAAGTTCTGAAAATTTTTCATAAAGGTGATGTGCCATTAGATTTTCTTAAATACTATATATAAATATATAAATTATATACACACATATGTATACATATACATGTCTATATATGCACACACATATATGTACATATAGCCACATAGATACATACATACATGCGCGTGCGCGCACACACACACACACACACACACAGAGAAAAACAAATGGTTTCTCTATTCATACAGAACACTTCTGATAGCCAGATGTGTGGATTTTTTTCCTACACTGTCCAATTCTGCAGCACCAGCTGGGTGTTCTACAGTTCTATGCAATCCTGACACTATCTACATAGACTTTGCATCAGATTGCACAAATTAAAAGGCTCAGTCCTATGAGACTGCCCCCAATCTAGATGTCAATCACAAATCCAGACACCCTGGGCTTTTGTTTTGTTTTGTTTTGTTTTGTTTTGTTTTGTGTTCTACCCTGGGCTTCTGACTGACAAGCTATGCATTAGGGTTGACTCCTCCATTTTCTAGAATGGCTCACGGAACTCAGGGAAGGAACACTTGACTTACATTTATTGGTTTATTATGAAGGTTATTATAAAAGACACAAATGGAAACCAGGGTAGGGTTGGGGTGTGCCACTCTCCTGGCATATGGATGTGTTTGCCAGCTCAGAAGCTCATCAAATCTCCTAGTTCAAGAGCTTTTAGTGAGCTTGATCTTCAGTGCACACATCCCACTCCATCCTCCGGGAGGTCTGAGTGTGGGGTTGAGAATTCCAGTCTTCTAATAACTTGGTCTTTCTGGTGACCAGTCCCAGCCTCAGTCTGGGAGCCCACCCTGTCGTCTCATTAGTATAGACTCAGGTGTGATCAAAACAATCTCCTTAAGAATGACAAAATACATTCCTACCACTAAGGACGCTCCAAGGGAATTCCAAGAACTCCAAGGACCCATGTGCCAGGAGCTAGGGACAAAGACCAAATATATTTCTTGTGACGCCATCCACACACACACACACACACACACACACACACACACACAGAGAGAGAATGGTGCCATTACCATCACAAACATGCAATATACATATATATCATACACATGTAAATATTTGTGATTGCAAATATATATAGATATGAATATGTGTATTTGTGATTTTAAACTGATTTATATTGTATTGATTTTAAATATATTTAAATTTATATTTGTATTGCTTATAAATAATTTGTGATTATCAATGTGATTTTACATATTTTGTGTGTATATGTATATATGTGTATCATTTCCCCATATACAAATATAAATTTTATATCTAGATTATAATTACATAGCATATGATTAAAATTAAACATAAAATAAATCAGAAGTAAAAACTAGATTAAAAAATTATATAATCATATATAAATATAGTGTTTTAATTTTTAATTTTTATGGGTATATAGTAGGTGTATATATTTATGGGTTACATGAGATATTCTGATACAAGCATGCAGTGTGTAATAACCACATTAGGGTAAATGGGGTATCCATTCCCTCAAGCATTTATACTTTGTGTTACAAGCAATTCATTTGTACTCTTTTAGTTATTTTAAAATGTACAATTAAATTATTTTCCACTATAGTCACTCTATACACTATCAAATAGTAGGTTTAATTCATTTTTTCAATGTTTTTGTACCTATTAACTATCTCTACTTCCCCACCACAGCCAGGCTACCCTTTCCAGCCTCTGGTAACAACCCTTCTGTTCTCTATCTCCATGAGTTCAATTGTTTTCATTTTTTCTTTTTTTTCTCAGATGGAGTCCCACTCTGTTGTCCAGGCTGGAGTACAGTGGCGTAATCTTGGCTCACTGCAGCCTCCACCTCCCTGGCTCAAGCAATCCTCCAGCTTCAGCCTCCTGAGTAGCTGGGACTACAGGCATGCACCACCACACATGCTAATTTTTGTATTTTTAGTAGAAATAGTGTTTTATTATGTTGGCCGCGCTGGTCTTGAACTCCTGATCTCAGGTGATCCACCCGCCTTGGCCTCCCAAAGTGCTGGGATTAGAGGCATGAGCTCCTGGGCCCAGCCTGTTCTCAGTTTTAGCTCCCACAAGTAAGTGAGGACATGTAAAGTTTGTCCTTTGGTGCCTGCCCTACTTTACTTAACGTAATGACCTCTAGTTCCATTCATGTTGTTGCAAATGAAAGGGTCTCATTCTTTTTTTATGGCTGAATATTACTCCATCATGTATATGTACCACATTTTCTTTATCCATTCGTCTATTGCTGGACACTTAGGTTGCTTCCAAGTCTTGACTATTGTGAAGAGTGCTGCAATAAACATGGCAGTGCAGATATCTCTTTGATACATTGACTTCCTTTCTTTTTAGTATATATTAATACATAGAAGTGGGATTGCTGGATCATATGGTAGCTCTCTTTTGAGTTTTTTGAGGAACCTCCAAACTGTTCTCCACAGTGGTTGTACTAATTTACATTCCCACCAACAGTGTAGGAGGGTTCCCTTTACTCCACATCCTCACCAGTATTTGTTATTGACTGTTTTTGTATACAAGTCATTTTAACTGGGGTGAGATGACATCTCATTGTAGTTTTGATTTGCATTCCTCTGATGATCACCTTTTCATATAATTGCCATTTGTATTTATTATTTTGAGAAATGTCTCAAATTTTGCTCATTTGTTAATTGGATTATTAGATTTTTTTCTATAGAGTTGTTTGAGCTCCTTACATATTCTGGTTATTAATTCCTTGTCAGATGAGTAGCTTGCAAATAATTTCTCTCATTCTGTGGGTTGTCTCTTCATCTCATTGATTGCTTCCTTTGCTGTGCAGAAGCTTTTAAACTTGATGTGATCCCATTTATCCTTTTTTTTTTCATTAGTTATCTGTGCCTGTGGTGTGTTACTCAAGAAATCTTTGTTCAGTCCAATGTCCTGGAGAGTTTCCCGAATGTTTTCTTGTAGCAGTTTGATAGTTTGAGGTCTTAGATTTAAGTCTTTCATCCATTTTGATTGATTTT